GTTTGATAACTGCATGATCCCTAGTCCACATATCAATAGATTGGGTATTTGACATGGAACGCTTCGGAGGCTTCCAGTCTCATGCACAACGTGGAGCACATGAACCGAGTTTGTGACTGACGGGAGCTTGACGGATGGCACTCCGGGCATATATGACCGATGATGTGAAGTGAGTGGTTTAGCATCAGGAAAATCTACACGACTGTCTAATTACTAAGGTGACTGAATGTTTTATGTTATCCTTATCGGAGAGCAGCTTGCAATATCTACTTGATCCAAAGCCCTCGAATATTGTTATTTCATCAATCTCCGGGTGGTTTTACCTAGATGGTCATGAGCTTAAAGGACCCAGAACAACCAGATATGAGACTTTAAGAGGCTCACAGCAGGCAGTGCCTCTGTCATATGTTGCTTATCTTGCATAAGTCAACCGCAAGCGGTAAAGGTTGGAGATGTCTTCCCTCGGGAATCGGAAATCGGCATCTCCATCGGTACTGGTTTGCGAGTGACCTTCAGCTCTTAGTGTAACAACTGTGATGTTTCCTCGGAATTAGGTTGACTATGGAACACGTCGGCATAGTGTCCGGTTATCTTGACTCTTTTATCATGAGAGATGTCCCGCCAAACTTGTCTTGAAAGGGCAATTTCCTCCCAGGGCGTGACTTGTGACAATGACATAACCCCGCGGTGGACGGAGGATAGGTCCGTGTTTTAGGTACCGGTGATGTTTGCCTTGGTTTTCAAGATGCGGGGGAGATCATATATGGGTTTGGAGGGGCAGATCTGGTGTTTGATAGCTGTTTTGCAGCCTATTGCCAATCTGTCCTTCACGGAAGAGATCGGAAGAACTTGAGTAATAACTATCCGATGCCTTTCGGATTGGATCACCATAATTTGATCATAGACATAAAGAATCATACCACGTTGGGTATGAAAAGCAATGGAACCCGCCGTTCAAAATGACGGTGAAGTAGTATTGAACCTGGGGCGGGGAGACATCACCGTATTCGTATGCCCATACAGCAGGGCAAACAAACGGAATCAAAGAAGGGAATTGTGCTAGCCCACGGCTCTTGGGCCTCATCAGCAGCCGTACAAGTTACTTAGGTTGGTAAGGCTGGGGTTGGGACAAGGTGACGAATCAGAGAGTAGCGACGGTAATTTTGATGACTGCGATTGGCTCAAAAGTACCCTCGGCGATGGGCCTTATAGGGAATGGGTCCGGATGTTGGGACACCGAATCGTACCAGGAACTCCAAGTGGGTGATGTTGAGGTTGAATTCATTGCAAGTCGTGGCCTGAATGATAAGGTTGTAAGTACCTAGCAAAGAGCACATGTAAATAGAAGAGAAATGTGCCGAAAATGATCATCAGAGAAGTAATAGGCAAAGGAGGTAGGTAATCTAAACGGATACAATTGGACCCCAAGGATCCGGTACGATTTCGGTCGACTTCCTTTCCGATGACCTTCCGAGGAAACAGAACAGAAACAAACAAACAATAGAAGGTAAGACGCCGCAAAAGGATCAGGATCACCCTGTACCGAGTACATAGAATCTGTGTGGGGCAGTACTTTACTCCGTCTGCCTATGGGCCCCTGGGAAGAGTGGCCGCCGCCAAATCTCCAGAAGGCCACCTAGAAACAGGGGACCTAAATTAATTTAGCTGTTAACTTGGGTTAGGTTCCGTCCAGTTGCTTGTGACTTTCCATTCTCCTCTCCTCCTTTCTTCTCTTCCTTCCACTCCCATCCTCTTACAATCCCAATCCCAATCCCACCACTTGTGCGACGATAGCCCTCGAACAAGACCAGAACCTCAATTCTCTTCACGACCCGTCACATCAACACCGCAATCATGTCCGCGAAGAAGGAGTTCACCATGCAGGATGTTGCTGAGCACAACACCTCCAGCGACATCTACATGGTTGTTCACGACAAGGTCTACGACTGCACCAAGTTCCTCGACGAGCACCCGTACGTTATATCGCTACACTTCTGCGCTACGTGGCGCAATCGTTATTCAGGATACTGACATCGACTTAGCGGTGGTGAGGAGGTCATGCTCGACGTTGCCGGTCAGGATGCCACCGAGGCTTTCGAGGATGTTGGCCACAGTGACGAGGCCCGAGAGGTCCTCGACGGTCTCCTCGTCGGTGAGCTCAAGCGTCTGGTGAGTGGCAGAACCCTCTATCTCGACGGAACTACCGCTAACATGTATCATTACAGCCTGGTGACGAGGGCCCCAAGCGCCAAATCGCCAACTCGAACCAGGGAAGCGGCAAGGCTGATCCCGCCGGCTCCAGCTTGAACACGTACGCCATTGTTGTCGCCGTTGGTTTCATCGCCTACGTTGCCTACAACTATCTCCAGAAGCAGCAAGAGGCTCAGGGCCAAGCCTCCGCATAAGCGCCTCATGTCAATCGCATCGCATGAATGAGGATAGAGAAAAAAGGGTGTTCTTTGGATTTTGCTACGGCATCAATGCAGATGTATGTCTGAGGACCACTATGCATTGGGAGTTTTCTTTGGCCTGAACAGAGGCCGGTGATAGACGGCGGGCACGCAGCTACTAAATGCAGCTTACCCCGGCTTGGACATGATGAGAACAGTGGGCAGCGGCGAATTCACTAATGCTAAAGCCCATGCCACGTCCCGATTTTCGGGATTTTACTTTTTTTGTTGGGGGTGGACGGAAGAGGGGATCGGGAAGTGCAACCGAAACCCGAACAGAAAGATAAGGATCACAGCGAAGCGCAGACGAGACCCATTTGCGAGGCGCGACTCATGCGCAGTCAGACAGACGATTCGGCCATCTCGTCTCATGGGCCACGGTGTTACATGAACACGGGACATGCATTCAACAATGGAGACGACAGACAATCTTGGGAGCAATAAAGTAAAGTAAATACATATCACTGTTTTAATCAATGACTGGTTATGACCATTTTCCTCATTTACCTTTGGGGATTCAAATCTACCTACCTACTAGGCTAGATACTGAGTTCTTGCTGATTGGCCCTTGTAGAAGGTAGGTAGTTTTGTAACCTTACGTCGACCTGTTCACCTATGGGATTCCACAGAGTTGAAAAGTCAAAGCAGAGTTTCATTCTTTTCCGAGGACGTGACTGAGAAACAGGGAGAGTCTTGAACTGCCTAAAGCTTGAGCTTGCGGCCTCCAAGTATATCAATATTTTCACCAATGGTGATTGGTACGATTCTTAGAATGAATCAAATTAATTTTTCCCTGTGAATTATAACGAGAATAATCTTGTCAGCAGACCTAGTTTTACCATGAAGTATCACAGAAGAGTTTGATATCCGTTGCCTATGACTGTACGTTCCCTTCAAGAGAACATAAATATGCGCTCGATGCCCATGAATTGGCCATTCTTTTTCTTCTCTTGCAACCACACACTCTCTACTCACACACTGAGCCTCATTCTGGATACTGATCGATTGTGGATAGTCAGAGGAGGTTAGTACCACAACCACAGCAGTGCAACCCCCCTGGTCACTGTTGCTACCTAGCGCCACACTAACGTGAACATCAGCCTCGCCGGATCAACGTCAATCCAAACTTCAAGCTTACTTCACTCAACCTCCATCTTCTTTTTTCCTTATTCCTTTGTTCTTCGCTGTCCGCCCTGGCCGTCTCTCCTTGACACCAATCCCCTACAAGCAAGCGCGACCTCTCGATCTTCATCTCCGATCCGCAGAGAATACATTCTTTTTTTCCTAGATAATCATGTCGTCCTATCTCGAAAGGCAGGCAAATGCTTTCAAGGGAACCCTTTCAGCAGCCGCGACAAAGATCTCAAATCCATCAACAAACAAGGCTTCATCTCTTGCCGTCCCTTCGCTTGCTCCTCCCTCACCATCTCCTTCAGCAGCCTCCGATCCAAATACTCCTACTTCCAAGCGAAAACGAGATGCAGGCCCTGAGGTGCCCTACTCTCAGCCGCAGCTCACAGGCTTTGGTGCTGGGGTCAAGACGCAAATGACATATGCTGTCGATTACCTGAAAAAGAAGGGCGACGCAAAGACCATTACGGATATTATCGACCATCTGAGCTTGCGGAATTTTGACGATGAGCACAAGCGGCAACTTGCGGAAGGTCTACGAGGACATCCCCGTGTAGAGTGGAAGCCTGATGCAAACCTGAGCGAACAGACCTGGAAGACTGGCACCTATGTCCACCGACCTATCATTCCCGGAGTCAAGGACGCAACCAGCCTTCTCGCTCATCTTCAAGCCAAGACAGACGCCTCAGGCGTGTCAGTTAAGGATCTCAAGGACGGCTGGCCCGACTGCGAAGACACAATATCAGCACTCGAGCGCGAGCACAGGATCTTGGTAGTGCGCACCAAAAAGGATAACATCCCGCGCTACGTTTGGCCCAATGATCCGTCACTGCACCACAAGGTCCAGCCAGAGTTCCAGAGCATGTGGCAGCGTGTGCAACTACCACCCCTTGAGGAGATGCACCGCAAGCTTACGAGCGTCGGACAAAAACCTACAAGCGAAGATCCCCGCAAGACAAAGGATGGACAGGCCAACAAGCCCAAGGCTCAGAAGCGCCGCAAGGGCAATAGGATCGGCAAGGCAACCAACGTGCACATGGCGCATCTCATGCAAGACTACAGTGGCATGCGACGATAGGGAACGCGTGTATCATAATTGTTTTCATTTCAGGGCGTTAGGGTGATGAGCTCGTGACTCAAGGGACGAATCATTTGACTTGATTTGATTTGGTTTTTATTTGGCGTTTGGCGATAGAGGAACCCATTGAGAGTAAGGTCAAACAAAAAAGACAAAGGGCATCATGAGACGGGCACCGTCGGGTAGACGTAGGGAACAAGGCAGCGGCATGTTTTAAATTATTCAATCAACAACATAATATCAAAAACTCCAGTCGCCTTTTGCCGTGTACGTGACAAGCCTTCTATCTCAATTGTGTATCTCTCGCTTGCCATGCCCTTTGCCCTAACATTGATTTGTCTTTACCTGTTCTCTCGCCGTATCTTGTCAAACAAGCTCTCAAAGATGTCTGACTCTTGATACCCCCCAACTCGAAACTTCTTCTGAACCGTGACGCAAGGCACGGCTTCTACACCCGCGATAGCAGCAGTTCTGACCTCGTCCTCGAGCGACTTCCCCAGACCAGGTCCCAGAAGCGCTGCTCTCATATCAGAATCTTCGAGTTTGGCCTCTGTTCGGCCTACGTGCATCAACCAGGCTTCGTCGGCAATGTCAGCCCCGTTTTCAAAGTGACCACGGAAAAGAGCATCAAGAAACGCAGACTGGACATTTGCTCCACGAGTTTGAAGGGTCAAGGCCACAAGTCGGTGGGCAGGCTGTGAAGGTCCTGTCTTTCCAGTCACAGAGAACTCGATGCCGTAACGAGCACCGGCTGTTTGGAGTCGAGAAGTGAAAAGACGAAGCTTCTCTGGGGACATGAGCTTTTCATAGAGGGCACGCTTGTCACCTGTGACGGGTTAGAATAACAGTGAGATAAAGAGGGTGAAATTACCTCTTCTTAGTGTAGGATACAGAAGAAAGGGCTTCCATGTGACATCGAATTCAACTTCTGGGTGGAGTGCTTGATATCGTTCCATGGCTCCCTCAAGAGTCTTTTTCTGGAGAAAACACCACGGACATAGAATGTCTCCATGGATGACGATGTCAATAAGCATGGTTGAAAGTGAAGAGAAGGCGTTAGAAAGGAAAACGGAAGAATCTCTGTTTGTAAATCGTTCAAGTCGTCAGGGCGTATAAGTAAAGATGGATGCCAACACCAAAAGTTGAAAACCGTTGAATACCGTCGTCACGCTTTAGTACGAAAGCCACTGTCGATCTCTAAAGCAAACAACCCAAGATACTTATATATATGAACGGGGCACTTCCTCCCCGTCCTGTATTATTAAATCTCACTCACATTTTGCCCTTCAGGGACCAGGGCTTTAACCAAGCATCTTCAGTCAAGCCCTCTCGTACATGATAAAAGCCCAGCTCAGCCGGCCTCAGGGCTGCCCGATTGGCAAATCCAGGCATCAATGCCGCACATCGTGGCCTGTCGTTGAATATTGAATATGTCTGCGATGAATAATCAGAAAATCGCCGTTCTGCGGGGGTATAGTCTGCACTACCGGGAATTAGGCAGGGGGAGAACCTTTCTCGCTTTTTCGCTCTTATTGTTTTTTTCTTATTTCAAAATGGCGTGGTTTCAGCTTCTTAGCTGAAATATATGGTCTTAAAAAAGTCTAGACCGGTCGCTGGGCTTGACAGTCGCGTGCTCGTGGAGGCTTTGTTATACGCGATAGACGTCATGGAGGTTTCTAGGCCTGACAGCACGGATTTAGACGAGGGGGTGATTTGTCGATCTCTCTGGGCAGTGAAACACCAGACGTTCATCCATGCGGCTCAATTGAGGGGTACATATCAGTTGGCAATAATTGCCGAAGGACATCGGCCGCGGCTGACCGATATATCAACGGATAGCTGGTGTTCTGGTTCTAGAGCAGGTTGTATGTGTGTCACAGCATAAACTAGTCATAAGCGGGCTGATATTCGTTTTTGTTGAGTGTAGTAATATATTCGTCGCATCAAACAGCAAGTCTATGTTGGTTCCCCGTCCTTAAGTCCAAGTCTACATAATAATACACAAACATGCCAGCGTCTTGTGCTTCCCATAATGCCTGCTGTCTTCGTCTCTGATACGCTCAGGAGAAAAAGAAAAATGCAAGCAAATGTTCCAGTGTAACTCCCGTCCTATGTTTGCGTTATGCAGACAAATGCAATGTCCTATCCGTCGTTCATCACATTGCCATCCGCCAGTCTATTTGATACTAGAACAAAGGAAATGAAAAAGCATCCATAATGTACGAGTGATGGGGAATCGATAAAGCATGAGTAACACGAAACAGTGCAGAAATCAACGTTCAGAGCATACTCCATCTAGGAGCGAGCCCGCCTATTAGACGGTTGAGTGATGTGTGTTGTGGGGGGTTTTGATATTAGACCAAGACATGCGCACAACTTGTCGTCAGCTGTGGCAGGCCTAGGTGAAGGGGTATGAGTATGGGAATTCAGTTCAGAAGGAATTAACGCCGCCATAATCTTCGTGCCCGAGTCGGGCACAGCTTCAATAATACAGGGTATCGGTGAGCTCACTCCAGATCATCACAAGAAAGACGACCTTGAGCATTGCTCAAGCGTCAGAATCTGGCAATATGTCTGACTAAGCCATGTGTACCAGTCCAGGTTCAGTGCTCTGGGGTCGGCGCATGTGCGTAGCGGCACTGTAATACATTTGGTTCATGGCTTGGTTGGCAGGATACGCATCCGCAGGGTCAGGATAAACATAGCTGGCGTTGTGCTGCGAGGGCGAGGCCATGTGCGAGGGAGACTGCCAGCCAACATTGGCCATGTGAGGGCTTCCACCATTGCTGCTGGGCGTACCCTGGCTGTTATCCAGGTTAGGCTCCAGAGTAGGAGGAGGTCCATAGCTAGTGGGATGCGAGGTAGGTCGCATCATATTGAAACCGCCAGACGAGGTGGAGGTAGGGCTGCCAACACGCATGTGCATGGGCAGAGAACCATTCTGTGACAGGTACTGGAAGTCACCAGGGTGGCGAGGGATGCTGTTGTTACCAGACAGATCGACACTGGGCGACATAGACATAGTTCGCTGACTAGGAGAAGGGGTCGTCAAGGGCGAGCCATGGTTAGACATGTGGTCGCTTTCAGACCGAGCCTGTGACAAGCCCTTCGACTTTGACGCAGCAAGAGCAGCAGCGGTCGCAGCAGCAGCCTCCTCGATAGTCCCGCTGTGGTGGTTCTGATGGCGGGTGAGGGTGGTGCGGCGAGTGAATGTCTTCTGACAATCAGCGTAGGGGCATTTATAGGGACGCTTCCCAGAATGAGTCCTACGATGTCGGGCAAGAGAGCTGCTGTCGCTGAAGGGCTGTATTTGGTGAGCGCCTGTCACAAAAACCAGAGTTCGGAGTACTAACCTTTGCGCAAGTCTCACAGTGGTGAGGCTTCTCTCCGGTATGCACGCGCTGGTGCACAGTCAAGGCAGATCTTTGAATGAATTGCTTTCCACATTGCGGCCAGTCGCAAACATGGGGTCGAACTCCGCTGTGAATGCGCTCTAGGACTCATTAGCATCGCCAGTCAGTCTCTCAGCATGTTTGTTTACTTACCGTGGCGAGCAAGATCACTGCGTCGAGCGAATCCCTTGCCACAGGTACTGCAAGGATAAGCCTTGATGGGCTGCTGAGGAGGAGGCGGGGGTTGTTGAGGCATCTGTTGCATGTGCATGTGAGGCATGCCTCCCATGTTGGGCATCTCGGGATAGCCTTGCATTGTCATGGCGGCGGACATAGGGTTCGGCATATGCATCGGCGCTTGCATCGTGGATGGCGATGGGTAGGCTCGGGCGATACTGTGAGGGTTGGAGTACTGCGAGTGCTCAGAGCCGTGAGGAGAGGCTGATCGCTCCATACCAGGTTCGTGCTTAACGAAGGCGTGTTGGTATTGTTGGTGATCGAGGAGACCGGAAGTAAGTTGTTGCATTTGACCTTTCTTATTGAGCATGTTGGTGATGTCCATAACCTCCGTAGGAGCTGGTGATCGCATGCCGCTCATCTTCAATATGGTGGGAATTGCCAGCTGAAGACGTGGCGCGTTTGGGGAAGGGTGTGCGAGGGCGCTCACAAGTGACGGATCACGGCAGGAAGGCGGTCAAGCTGACGTTGGCTGCGAATATGCATGTTAGTTACTTGGTCTTGGTATGATAGCGGGCTATGTTTGATGCTCGAGGGTGCGAATACAAACAATGACATCCCGAAGAGACCGGCAGATGGGTAAGCGAATGCAACAGCATGCTTAGATCCAGGCAGTCGCACAGAGACGGCATCATCGGTATCCAAGATCCGCCGAGAGTCAGGTCCCGAAAAACAACTTTTGCGACTCACCTTTCCGCGTTTGTTTGCAAGTGACGTGTATGGTCGCACTGACGAGGTGGACGGGAAATCTTGCAGACCGCTTTTCGATGCGGGTTCGGTCGAAGCGGGAGGAGAGAGGTCGGCCGGCGACAGGATTTCGTTGTCGGATTTTGGTTTCTGGGCGGCGACGAAGTTCTCTGTAGTTGGAGCGTTGGAGGAACGCGCGTGGTGGATGTGTAAGGTGGAAGAGCCGAGGACCGCAGGGGTTAGGCAAAAATGGTTAAATTTTTTTCTGTACCCTCCACAAAGTGATGCACTGTCGATCGGGCGGTCGGTGATGAAAAGTCAACAGAACAGAAGACTCTTGCAAGTTTTCAAATTCAATTTACACTGTATCAACACACGATAGCTGATGAGATGTAGTCGTTCACAGGCGCGATACGTTGAAAGAAGGGATCAGGAGGTGGTCTGTTCACAGCTGATGGCCAGTACCTAGTCTAGACGCAGGTACCGTTAAAGGGTCAACTGGGGGGGGATAGATAATTCTTAAAAGAATTGAGGAGGTGAAAGATAGTAGAGTTGGATATCAATCGCCAGGACGTATGAGGACCAAAACGCAACGAAAGACGGGAACGGGAGATAGATAAAATAGACCAAAGGAGTTGATGCGATGATCGAGGGCCAGGTAGGGGCCAAGTCTTTATGTCAGGTTCCAGGACGGGTCCCTATGGCGGGACGTGACAAGGCGAAGGCAGGCAAAGGCAAAGGCAAAGGCAGCTCCGGGATTTGAAAGTGGGAGGGTGAAGGGGAAGTGAAAGTGGATTCCCTATGGGGGGGAATTAGTGGAGGGAGGGGGTCTGCGAAATAAATTACGGCGCACTCCCGGGCAGGGGTTGGAGGGTGACAGGGGTAGCGGACCTGAATGAGGGCGTGAATAGCGGTAGCGGGAATGAAGTAGACTCAGACTCATTACAGCGGCCAACCCAACCCAACGCTTCAAGTTCAGCCAGTTTAAAGCAAAGCGCGTGTAGCGCATCAGATGAGCCAGATAGTAGGGCAGAGACAGGGATTGGGGAAATAAGAATAAAGCATGGCCAAGCCTCAGGGGGCAAGAAAACACCGTACTTTGATATGAGGTGTCAAAATAAACTCAGCAAAGGATATCCTAAATTTATGTAAAGTTACCTAAATCCTTTTGTCGCTTAGGATTAAGGTCTTGAGTTTTCTTTCCTCCCCTAGCCAAGATACTCTCAGACCTGACCTGAGCTAGAGTAAACAAGAGCCAGAAATAGAGTCAGTGGGACAGGATAATGGAAACAGTAGTGCAGGTGTAGATCAGGCACGAGTAAGCAATCATGTCTTTGTAATTAGAGTATTGGGACATTCTAACAAAGAGAAGAAGAAAAAAAGGAAATCATCTCAGCATAATAAGCACTCGATATGGATGCGTATGTACAGTAGGGGTACTAAACAAACATATGCTTGTTTTTGGTCTCAATGAAATGACGATCGATCCTTTTGGCTTGGTTCCCGTCCCCGTCTTTGTATCTTCTTTTCTTTTTTAGAAGAAAAGTATTACCCGAAAGCCGTTCGAGGGTTTCGTTTGAACTGGATCTCGCAGGTTTGGTTTGCTCTGTGCGCCAGATCTCGCAAGAGACATGGTGACATGGATCGAAGCACAGGACTGGGGTTGGCAGGACCTCGAGACACGACACGACGGGAAGAAATCATTGAGGGGTCGACGAACTGTAACAGTGGATGACCTGCAAATTGAGGTTTCATATCACGGGCGAACGCGAGCTGAGAACGCCCAAGGCCGATGAATTAGCACCGAGGGCGCTAGAGCTGTTAAATTTTGCATTGGTGGTGACCTTAGTCTAGCACAGCAAGGCGAACAGCTGAGACAAGGACTCAGACCAAACCTCGCGTTTCCAAAAGAAACACGGTATGCTATAGATTGGAGGGGATATCGCTCTCAATACTCTGGAAACAATGACAATATATGAGGGGTTTAAAACACCTCTGTTTCTATGATTCTCTAGTTATTGCATCGAAAATTATAATAATAAAGTCCGGTCCTTTTTAGGTACTAACTGAGATTTGACCCAACCATAACTTTCGCAAGCGGGGATTGGCATGCGACAGACGTCACAAAGAACGAGGGCCAGAACCTCAATTCCGCCCTAGAAACATCCATCAGCCGTGGCGTCATTCTCACTTAACCAACATGAAACGCCGTTGCGTGTGTAATCCCCAAGACGCGGCAAACCAAACCATAAGCTTTTATCCTATCCTGTCTTCATTTACAGTACGCAGTGAGTGTCCCGAGGATTTGGGAGCGAAGCAAAAAGAAACAAAACCCTCCACTACCAGCATTCAAGCGGACGGGTGCCTAGCCCTCGGAAGAGATGGCTCCCGTCGTGTTGCTGCAACTTTACGATGCACAAATTGGAAATCTCCCGTCCCCGGGCAGTTGAACTCCATGTACAGCATACAGTGCATACCCACAGTGCATCTTCAGATACAGGGTATTCCCCGGCCAGCCACAGCGCGCGCTGCCTCACCCAACCACCAATGCCCATAACAATTCAATAGTCACTGAATGACTGGCGTGGAAGCGTCCCTGGATAACATCTTGCAACCTCTAGCCGTTGCACGACGCTGATTGGAAAGAGGCTGTGGTCCTCCCTCATCTGTCGTGAATAGTCGGGATCGCTGCTGAGGGAATGAGAATCTCGCCGGCAGGCCAATCCTTGTCAGCTGGAGTGATCCTCAGACGTCGATCGTATCGTTCGTTTCTCTCACTGCATTATGCCAGTTGGGCCTCCAACATATCATGCCGTGTCTTGGTGAGTTGCGAGTGGACGCCCCATCACCTCCCTTTTCGTCTACTCGTATGTCCAGTCCAACAACAGGATATCATGAAAGAAATGAGCTGCGCAAACACGGCCCGTACACGCCTCGCCCTGTATCAACCACGCTTGTTTGCTTGTACGATGCTGAGCATGTTGCTATTGATTGTTTCTCTCCTATGTACAGCGCTGTTTCCCCTCTCTCGGGATTGTGAACAGGCCTCTCTCTGACCCAGCTCCCGCTGTTTGATGTTCGACCCCAACTCGATTCCCCTGGTCTCAATCAATGTACTCTGTACAACGCATCACTCTCCCTTGCACGCCCCCTGGTGAGCAGGGCCGACGTCATGAATCTTCCCTGTACCCTGCAGGGTCGACAGGGCATGTGCGCCCCTCAAAATAACCCAGGTCTTCCAGGGGAATTCATACGGGTCCCGTCAATTTGGGCGCGGTCTAGCGGGTCAGAGCTGGTGCCCAGAGCTGATGTCGGGCTGTCAGGGCTGGGGGCCAGGCAAGGCGGTAGCTGTCCTGAGTGGTAGATCTCGTTGGCTTCCAGAAGAGTTCAATCATCAGCGCCCATGCTCCTCTGACCCATCTCACTCTCAGGCGGTGTCGAGTTGTCGTCCCCTAGTGTGGCTTGCCTCATCTAGGGATCCCACATCTCCCTTGGCACTATATTTGATAATGTTTTCCTGCGCCATAGGCGTCAATAAGATCTGGGCTGCTGGTTGAGGCTAATTAATCTCCAGCCATGCGTATTGTGAATCTCGGTGAGAGCGGTCCAGGACCGCTCGACGTTTGTTGGAGCGTTGCCTGAATCTGTGGTACACTTGACATGATGTAATCTCAATATCTGGTCACCTGGTCTAGTTTAGTTGTTAGCAGCCCTGTCATCGTCTCTTTGTTCTTCGCTAGATGGTCTCCAGCAATCGAGACCAGTAGACGAATCACTCACTCCATCAACCTTTGTAAACAAAGGCTGCTTTTGAATCAGCATTTAACTGAATATTACACCCACACTATTTTAATGGTGTACCCAACTGAGGCGGTGTCACTTCTTATTCCGCTCTTTCCCTGCCATATAGCCCGTGGCTTAATTAGCATGTTAATGCATGCAATGCGCATGAGTTTGCTGCCGTGAATGTGGGATGTTTGTTGCTCCTGGGCTCTAGGTTAAGGGTTGTCCTAGATACGACTACCCAATCGGATATGAAGCGAGTGGCCTGGGTGCTCCCCTCCCAGCTTTGGAGACGTTAGAGTCAGCAACCCTGTACTGTGTGAGATGTACGTGAAGTAGTGGGCTGAGGCAGGACTGATTCGTCAATACCTGAAAGCTCTGAGAGGACTTCACCGTGACCCGTCTACCTTCCAGAAGATAGACAGATATGATCTTACACCGCTCCGGTTGGTTTAGCTAAGTACTTAGGCACTGTGCAGTGTGGCTATTCGATGCCATCTCTCCAACGACCTAATCAATCTATCAATCAACCATCCCCGCAAGTGCCGTGCGAAAGATGCAGGCGCTGGCGCATATGCCAGTTGATAATTAAAACAGAGATGCCAAAAGGGATAGCCTCATGCAATATAAAGGACAAGATCCACCATGACGCTTTTGAATGATGACTTCAAGAGTGAGAAAGGGGTGTATCGTGGACCAACAGCCCAGGAGAGAGAAAAAAAAATGAATGAAGCTGGAATTGGAAGACACTAAGAAACTTGGGAATCAAACTCGACAGGGGTGAGAGGCATATCTTTCAACTGCTAAGCTCTCGTTGGCTTCTTTTCGAGGCTAACAAGGTCTTTAGATAGGTCATTCACACATTCGGAAATGACGCTAGCTCACCGAGGA